GTGGCTTCCGGTTTTCCCTGCAAACGTCCTTGGTACACCTTTGTACGAACGCGAAACGGATTCTGCGGTTCGAGCACGGGATCGTTTCGCCGACATTTAATTAACTAATCATCCCGCCGTGAAGCCAGTTCCACTCGTAACGATCTCTTGGTACGGTTCTCTATTGAAAATTGTTCCTCTCGCGGTCGTAACTCTCGTGGCATATGTCGCGACTCCAACGTATATATATATATATGCCAACCACCCAGCTTCGTATCACGATTTCACGAACTGCATTTCGACCAAATGTCCAATGAACGCTATCGACAATGGTATAAAGATACAAAGAACGACGCTTCAATAATGAGACCGAGTCAAGAGGAAACGAATTGAGAAAACGTGTACCACCCTCTCACGATGAAGGAGATCTTTTCTCGATCTCCCCAAACCCGGTCGAGGATGCCACTTTTTCATTTACGATAGCGACGTGGAGTGGCAGGGTCCAGCAATCGCGAAAACAGTTAGCGGCATTATATCATCCGGAGGAGAAGGTTCTCGTGTCCGAGTGGACATTGTTTCAACCCGTTCGAGGAGAACAATGGGAACGGGAATCGAGTACTTGTACGTTGAAACACTTTTGCCTACCCAGTCATCGCCGACAATGATCTCGTTAAAGGGGCCTGACCGGCCCCACTTTCGTCCCGATAATGCCTTTCTTCCCAACCTCTTTTCACCCTAGTCTCTCGATTCTCAATCCCGTGGATTGTTTCCCGTTAGTTCGAGGCTCGGCCTATGTCAGTTTCTTCTTTTGACTTTTCGGCAACGGATGCTGGCCTACGTAAGGGTTGAAGTTGCGGCGCAACTGTGACCTCCAGGGGTTGTTTCGAGATCATTTCTATCCGGTATACAGTTTGGAAAATGTTATAATCCTCTTCGTTCGAGTAATTCAAACTCAAATTCTATTTTCGATTCGAAAGATTATAAAATTTATTCGCGAAATAAATAGATAATAAAATTAATTATATAAATCGAAATTCTCTACGTCAACATCGAAAGATCTCGAACTTTTCGTTGAAAGTGGTCAGGCGGTCAGAATCGAAGGAGGCGATTTGCGAAGCGACTAAAAAGGGCGGTCAAGAAGGGGAGAGGGAAAAGAAGTTTGGCGCTCCGTTATCGGTACGCGAGAACGCATAAGAGCGCGTATAATGTACACACGAGGCCCTAACCAGTGAGAAGCGGGAAGAGAAAAGAGAGAGGAAAGTGCGCACCCTACCGAGGAAACGGGCCAACAGAGCCAGTGGGGTTTCTTCAGGGTGAAAAGAGTGAAAAGGTCCCCGCGCCAAATACAATTGGCGTCTAAACAGAGGGTAGTTATAGCGAAACGCAATGCCCATTGGGGTGACGTTGAACAAGGAGATCGACTCTCCATCCCTCTCCCACCTTCCGCCTCGTGTTGTGCCCCATGAAAGCAAAGGGTGGTCACCTTCGACCGATTCGGGGCGAGAGACTTTTT